GGATGCAAAAGCCAAGAAAATGGCCTGGTGATGCTACAGAGCAAGAGCTCCTGGCCCATAACTGAGGCCTTCCCTTGTCATCCAGCTCCTCAGCCAAATGCAGAGCTACTGCAAATGACTTTTGCATGCTTCTGCATTTATCTCAGTCCTATATGTGGCTCTCTGGGGTCTGTACTGCCCCACATGTGGAAGAGCAGGGAGCTGAGATGGTCCAGATACACCAAATGGGCTGCCATTGCCTCCTTCAGGCTGGTACTGTCTGTGGGCTGAGCAATGGGAAGAGGAAATATGTGTTTCTGCCTTCTGCATGTAGCAGTGTGAGCACTGCACATCTGTTTGCTTGGCCTGGGGATTAGGGATCACTCCTGCCTCCCCACAGAGCTTCTCCACCTCGTAGCATGCACTCTGGAGCCCAGATTCCCACATGGAAATCCTCACATTGAGCACCCTAGTCTGTGGCACTCACACAACTTATCCATTGGTCTCCTCTTGTCTCCAGGGTGGCCTTTTGCACGTGGATCTTCTCCAACATTCTCTTCTCCATGCCTGCCCTTGTCTATGGAGGCTACATGCTCCTGGTCACAGGGGCCTTCGTGACCTTCTCATTGCTCTCATTCTCCACTGTGAGGAACTCCCCAATGTGCCTGATCCAGATTGGGACTGCAATACTTCGTGTAGCCTATGGGGGATCCTTCTGGCTCACCCTAGTGATTGGTAAGGTCACCAATGTGCCCCAGGGCACGCCACCTTGTCCCTCTGGATGTGCAAGAGTCCCAGTGCTTTTGTCTCAGGTTGAAAGTGCAGCTTGGCAAAGTAGATCCTGGCCGGAGGTGTGGACAGGAGTGGCAGAAGGGGGAACACCATCCCCATCTCAAGGGCAGTGAAGGGATTTTTAGTTCCTGAGATGCGAAGAGATGGGGATCACTTGCCTGGGTTTTAAGATACTCAGCATACCTGAAGCGCCCTTATACAGTGGAAGGCCATCTTCCATAAGCAAAGGCATTGTCACTGGCAGGGGACCCCTCAGAGGAGGGCTGTGGGCTGGGAACTATGCTGGTGTGTACACTCTCTCCCAGACAGCACGTTTGTTTCCAGGCTTGGTCTGTTTTGTGGCTGGGATCACCATTGTGGCACTGCACCACCTCAACTTGGACTTGCTGAAAACCTTCTTCGATCTCCGTGAGGACAAAACAGAGGAGTACCAGGAAATGGTTGAAGTGCACGTCAACTCCTATTTTGTGAACAAGGCCCTGGCTCCTTCTCAGCCCTTGGAAACCAACAATGTCTAGAAGAAAGTTTTTTCCACTCCTTCCTTGCAAGTGGACCTGGAAGGGCAGAACACAAACCCTTCTTGATATCCCCAGAGACGCCTTACCCTGTTCAACTTCAAGGGAAGTCCACATTCGGACAGGTCCGTGCTGCGAAGTACCTTCATAGACTATCTCCCTGACAGTGCCCTCTGAAAAATGACAAACTTTGCTGGCAAGCTGTAATCAGAGCAGCTCACAGCTCCAGAGACTTGAGCTGTACTCACCTGGAGTTGTCTGTTCCAGGAGAAAATCCCTTCCTGCTCCATACCCTGGCACAGTGTGGAGCAGAAATCTCCAATGGCCAGTTCCCACTGAAACTGAAACACTGAACTCACAGGTGACATTTCTCATGGGGAGCACCCACGGCTCCATGGATTAAACTTGCTCCATTCTTCCCCAAGCACTGACATTTAGTGTAAAACTTAAGGTGATTCCAGGAAATCCAGGCCCAGATCCAGGCTCTGCAGGCTGGATGTTGCAGGAGCTGGAATAAAAAAACTGCTTCAGTAATAAAGACTGGGTAATGTACAATGGAGTTTGCAGGGGAAAATATGGTGGTGGGATTATTTTCACTTTCAGATTTGGGCTTTTAAGACAAAAAGATGCCACAGAGAAGGAGGGAGAGGGAAGAATGAAGTTACTGTCCAGTTGGAGCACACCTGAGCTGGCTGGGCAGCAAGACACGGGGAGATTCTGCCCCTCTGCCTTGCTCAGGTTAGACCCCACCTGCAGAGCTGCCTGCAGCTCTGGAGCCCAACATCGGGACATGGAACTGCTGGAGCCAGCTTAGAGGAGGCCCCAGAGATGCTCTGAGAGCTGTTAAGACCCTTGTTGTTAAGTTACTTATTTCTGTCACTCTATATTTGTGTTGCACTAATGTGATTTATTATGTACAAGAATCATTTTCAGTAAAACTTTACTGAAAACCCTCTCATTTGAAACTCTGTGGGCATTTGCAGGCTGGTTTCTTAAGAAGGGGTTGTGGGGCACATTTGAAGGTGATTTCTGGAGAGCCTCCAGCAGGAGCAGCCTTCCCACGGGGAGGATGCCCAAAAGGAAGAACAAATCTTGCTGTCATATTTCAAGGTAAACCACTGAGAAACCTTGTCCCGAGGAGCAGCATGTTTTGAGGGTGTAGGAGAACCTCAAAAGCACTTTAACTAGCTGAGCAGTGGGACAAAAGCCATAAGATTAAACCAACAAAACTCCCTCAGGCAAAGGAGGATCCTTTCCTGAGAATTTCTTGCATCCAAATGTGTCAGGCGTGAAGGCATCGATGGGAAGATGCTACAGCCAACCACAAGTTGTTGGTGCTGGTGGGGGACAGATCCCGTGACTGTAAGCACAGGAGGTTGGGGGGTTTCCCATTCTTTCAGCTGCTGCATCTGGCTCTTTCCAACCTCAATCTCCTGCATTTGGGCATGATTCCTCCTCAAGAGCATCCTCACCAGAAGGAGAAGTTTGTGCTGCTGCATCAGACATACAAGGGTGTGAATGCAAATAAACAAAACATAACTAAAATTGGATCTGTTTGAAGAATCAAGACACCAGAACCCTGTGTCTTGTCTGCATCCTGGCAAACACGGGATAGCTGGGATTTCAGCAGCAGACCCTGCATGGAGCCAGCTGAGCTGTGACAATGACATGCTGGGGATGCAGAGACCCCTTCACACTCATGCAGAGCAAGAGGTCAGGACAACCAGGGCTGCATGTGTCCCAGGCTGGACACTTGCAAGGAGATGAGCAGGTGGAGGACTTTTCACAACATGGAGGGGCACACACAGGGCCATTGCTTTGGAATGAGCATTTTGCCTCACTACAAGTCACAGCATCTTCCTTTCATGCACTGTAAGAGCTGTGGCTGTACAGCCACCACATTGTGCTGCTGCAGGTCCCACCTCCTCCATCCACTGCAGCTCTTGGCTCAGTTTCCTGACTGGACTGAGGCATGATTGGACAACAAGAGGTAAAATCATCACCATTAAATCCTTAGTTCTTGGCCCAGACTCACTCTGGCCCTACACTATCCAGGGAATCTGGCATCTAACCAGAGTCAGTGCCAGCAATGGAGCGAACACCGTGAGCATCTTGGAGAGTACAGGAGAGCCTCGGGGCTCTGCAAGGACTGTGGGCCCCATGCCCTGGTGGCAGTCATTACACCAGAGCATGCAGTCACCAGGACATCTGGCAAGCAGCCACCTGCCCAGACCGGGCTGCAAGGAGGAACACACCAGGGAGATGTTTATGAGGGCTGAATTTCTACTGAATAGATTGGAGGGGTTTGTTGTGCCTTGGATCTAGTCCATCTGTAGGCTGAACCATCTCCTGGTAGAAACCATTGTGAACATCCTGGCTGAGGTCTCTCAAGCCTCAGGAGTTCAACTCCAAACTGTTTTGAGTTCTCTTGGTTCTCATTGAAGACTCTTCCATCTGGAGTGGGATGTGCCATGGCTGAGCACCTCCTCCCCAGAGAGCCTGCCCCGTGGTGATCCCTATGCAAACCCCTCTGCTGGGCTGGAGATAACTCCCATAATACCTTACACATGCCTGGAGGCACTCCAGAAGCTAAAGTTCTTCCATATTCCCCCTGCTCGTTTGCCTGGGGATGCCCTGATAGACTATTTAGGGCCTATTGACTAGACCTAATTGTACTGAATCAACTGGCTGTAGGTGGATGTTCCATATAGGACCACTAAAGGGCTCTGCCTTGTCCTTCTCCCTTCCCCGTGGCTGCCCTCAACCCTCAGATGGACACCTCTATCAACAGACAAGTGAAAGACCAAGTCCAATTTATTTTATTGAGATATGGGGAAAATTAGTGAGCACAAAATAGAAAAATAAAGAAGTTGTGAAATCTGCACTGAGGAAACAGGGTGCAAATCTGCAGTGTGTTCCCTCCCTCCCTGCATGGGCAAGGTGCCAGCAGTCAGGACTGGGTGGCTGTATTCTCCTTGGGTGTGCAGAATTCCAGTGTCTCATGCCCCGTGACGTGAGTATTTCCACAGCTGAGCAGGAGGAACAAACCTCCCAGACCAGAGATGCCACTCCCCTGTTGCTGGTTGGTTACAGCTGATCTCTAAGGCATTGTAGCACCTCTCTGCCCACCTCCTCCTCTTCCTCCCTCCCACCTGGTCTGGTACCTCCAGCATCCTGGCTAAATCGTGGTCCTCCTTGTCATCCTGCCCTTCACCCCAAGAGGAGATGCTGGTTACAAGGCACCCTCATGAGTGCAGCTTCACCCATACTTCCTGATGGTTGATGGGAAGAGCATCTGTGGGCAGAGGGGATTTCTTGGGGGTCTTCAGGGTGGGAGTGCTGTTACAGAGGCTCTACTTCTCCTTTGTTTCCTATCTATGAGTTTGCAGTTACTTGGTTTCTCCTCAGTTTGTTCTGATTTGATCTCTGTACCCTGGGGACTAAGGAGAAAGGCGGTAACCCAGTGCCTGGAACTGGACAGCCAGGGTCGGGGCATGAATTTTCCCCACCACAAAGGTTCTTCCAGCAGCTGCTGAGTAAAACAACAGGAAAAGGGGGAAAAAAAAAATAAACTGCTGTATTTGAAACATCTTTCCAGATTCGGACATTCTTACCACACAGCACTTATCATGTCTCTTCCCAGCTGGGCTCCTGCTGGATTTGGTGAATTCAGGAGAAGTGTCCTCAGGCCTCACCCTGCCTCCCCCCCATGGCTCACAGATGGGTGGCTGTCACCTCGAAGAGCTCTCCTGGTGGGACCATCGGCACGTCCTGCACAGAGCAGCTGGGCTCAGTCAGCAGGCAGGGCTTGTCCCACACCTCCTCTGCTCCCTTTCTCTTGTCCAGGTTAAAGATGAGCTTCAGCTTCTCCGGCTCCACAGAGTTCAGGATGATGACACTCAAACCCAGCAGCAGGCACAGCAGCCCTGCCATGCACAGCATAGGGACACGTTAACACCTCCTCCCAGTGTGTCCCAGCTCCATCCAGATCCAGCTGGAGGCTGGTGACATTTGGCATCACCTAGGTCTAGGGAAGGTTCTATTTCCCTTTCTACATCTGGATTCTGGCATCAGTTTGGTCTCTCCAGTAAAAAAGAGGGGCCAGTGAACTGGGGCAGGGAGTTAGGGCTAGAGCTGGGGAAAGGCTGGAGGAGCTGGCTTGTTTAACCTGAAAAAGAGGAGTGTCTAGGGGAACTTAGTTGCCATCTGTCCTTGGAGGTGGATGTTGTAACATGGGAAATTCTGGTTTGATGAAAGGAAACAATTGTTCCCCGTGAGTGGGACTGCTGTGGGGCAGGTTCTGGAAGGCAGAGGGAATCTCTATCTGTGGGGACATCTACCACCAGACTGAACAAGGCTGATGTGGCTTTGAGGTTATCCCTGTTCTGGGAGGAGGACCCCTGAGGGTCCTTCCAGGCCAGGTCTTTCCTTGGCTCTGCAATTCCTGACTCTCCCTCTCTCCTCTGAGCACACCTCCAGCAGGTAACTGCAGCCATTCATATCTCTTGCCTGTCATCTCTTTTCCTCCAGCCTTCAGAGGGAAAAATATTTTAGGCCATTTAAAAAAAAAAAAAAAAAGTGATTTTGTGTGACCAGCCATGGAGACAGAAGGGGAGAAATCCTGTTGAGACATCACTGAACATCATCTCTGTAGGGGTGGAGAAGAAAAGCCCCTGGAGCAAGCTGAGCACTCACCTGTCACTAATGTCAGCCAAAAGGATTCACCATAGTCTGTTTTCAAGGAAACTGGACCAAACTGGATGGGGCACTTGACCATGTTCCTCACAGTGAAGAAGAGCAGTGAGAAGAGGATCACCGTGGCAGTGAGAAAAAGCATGTAACCACCATGGAGCAGGATGGACATGGAGAACAGCAAGATGGAAATGAGCCACGTGCAGAAGGCCAACCTGTGAAAGGACCACAAAACCAAGCAGGAAGCATCCTGGGATGCACGCTGGGAGCATCCACTCGGGGTATCCTCGCCACTTCCCAATGGAGGGACACAGTCCTGGGCAACCCAATCTAGCTGGCCTTGCTTCAGCAGGTGGGCTGGACAGGTTGATCAGAGGATGTCCCTTACAAACCAAACAATTCTGTAACTACATGAGTGGTGGAGTTGTGGGAGAGGTCCAGCAGCAGTGGAGAGTGATCTCTACACCCGGGAACATTCGGTGTTGAACTTTGCGAAGCCCCAAGCACCCGGGGCTTTGACATCAGCCCTGCCCTGGATGTGGGACTGGAGTAGAAATCTCTGGAGGTCCCTCCAAATTAACTTTTTTTCCTGATTCTTGTGATCATCCACAACTGGCCACCTCCAGGCAGTTCCTACCTGTTCGGAGGGACAATGGCACCGAGGGACACCTTTGTTTGGAGAACTGCACCTTGAGCCATGCCCACAGCTGATTCAGCACCTGGAGTGAACCCAGCTGCCAACCCTGCCCTGTGTTGTGGGGTTTGGGTTTAGCCCATTGGAGAGCTGAGCCTAACAGCTCAGTTTTTCTTATTCCAAGAATAATAATGAAAAATTTTCATCAACATTCCTTCCTTGAAATACTCCTCCTCAAGAACAGGAATGTTTGGGCAGGGATAGTTATTTTTCCTGAAAATAAAAAAGGGGATGTAGGCAGGGACCTGCAGCCCTTCCCCACAGGGGGAATTGCAAGGCTCACTCTCCTCACCCTTTCCCACCACCTCTGAGGCATGTAGGGGTGCTCTGAGACTGCACAATCACAAAACACACCAGGGCTCTCAGCTTTGCACCACAGGACAGCCTCTGAGCACCTTCATAATGGTCCCTCCCACTTCCCACAGGCAGGTCTCATGCCCTCTTGGACATGTAAGAGGAAGCCCATCACAGCTGGTCTTACTGGGGCTCCTTATCTTAGTCCTTGAGGGAGGATCCTGAACTATAAGCCTCACAGTTTCATCTGTTTTCCCTTAAATGAAGAATAATTTTTCTCTGATGACAATTTTGTACATCAGGACAGAGGACACAGAAAAGGACTCCAGAGAAATGGGTAAAAGCTGCTCCAAGGGCTGCAGCCCCTTTGCTCTGATGACAAAGCTGGAGGGGATGGGGGTCTTCAGCCTGGAGAAGAGATGCTTCAGGGAGACCTTAGAGCCCCTTCCAGTGCCTAAAGAGGCTCCGAGAGAGCTGGAGAGGGAATTTGAATGAGGGCCTGGAGGGACAGGCCAGGGGGAATGGCTTCCCACTGCCGGAGGGCAGGGTTAGATGGGTTTTTGGGAAGGAATTGTTGGCTGTGAGGGTTAAGCCCTGGCACAGATTTTCCAGAGAAGCTGTGGCTTCCCTGTCCCTGGAAGTGTTGAAGGCTACGCTGGATGGAGCTTGGAGCAATCTGGGATAGTGGAAGGTGTCCCTGCCCATGGCAAGGGGTGGAATGAGATGAGCTTTAGGATTCCTTCCAACCCAAACCTTTCTGTGATTCTGTGATTCTATGACAGGCCAAGAAGCATGAGCATCCCTGATTCTGCAGAAAGCGAAGGCTTTGGCATGGTCTTACAGGAAAGAGAGTGCCTACATCAGAGAGTGCCTTCCCTCTGCTCTGCCTGGTTCTTTCCAAAGCAGAGACAGGGCTGACCTCTATCTAACTCACCAGAGCGTGGCCGAGGCGTAGTGGCCAGAGATGCGATACTGCCTGTGCACAGCGCAGGGGCTCTGCGAGGTGAACTTCTCTGCCACATAGAGGATGGGGCTGGGCAGCCCCTTCTCCAGCCCCTCTCTGTAGCTGTGGTCATAGTTTGAACCGAAGCTCCAGGAAAAGTATTCGTTGTAGTTGATGGTCTCATTGATCTGGTTCACTGGGTTTCCTGCCAGATGATGAAGACTAAGGACTTTTCTCAGCCTTGGAGGCAGCTCCAAGACTTGCTGGTGTGGGGGTTGTAGGACCCATAGCCCCAGTATACGGGTGTACGGCTGCCAAATTTGCACTCCGTCCACTCCTGTTGTGATGTGCACTCACCCTTGAGTGTGATGTTCACCCCCTCCAGGCCGATGTGCAGCCCGATGTCCACATTCACCACAGCACGGCTGAAGGACTTGTAGGAGGTGTTTGCCTGCACCCAGCCAGTCTCCCAGTCCCTGGTGAACTGTAGGGCTGTGAAGACTTCAGAGGTTAGTTATGGCCTGGCAGCAAGACATCGAGTGCTGGAGGCACCTGCCTGGTCACCATAACCTGGGCATTACCTACCTCATCCCAAGGGCAAGGACTGGGTTGTCAGCGACAAGAAGGAAAAGTTCTGTATGTCCTTCCCCAATATCAGCCCTGACCCATGACTCTCAGAGCCTCACTTGGATTGGTTTGTCACCAGCCCCAGTGCAGTCCCTAACACTCGAGGCAGTGGGGCTGATGTGTGGGCACTGTCTGGGCACTGGTCCTCATCTAAGCACCTTCCAGTTTGTCTGCTTGGAAGTTGGTGGTGGGATTTTGGTGACTGCCCTGGGTATGACCACCAGTCTTCAGAGAGGAGACTTGCAGCTTCTTCCCGTTGCTGGAGCCAGGTCCCAGCCACAAGATGGGTCTTCCCCATGAACTCATCCCACAGGCTGGATTTGGTGCTTGTCTGCTCTGTTCACGCTCCCTCACTTTTCTCCTCCGTGCTTTGAGCATCCTTGAGCTTCCCCCCCAGAACCCTAGTACTCACTGAGGAGCACGGCCCCCACGAAGAGTCCCATCACCAGCCGCAGGAACCAGAAGAGTCGCTGCCAGGGGTGAGCAGAGCAAGGGGACAGATCTCAGTCAGATTTTGCCATGGGGACCTCAGTACCAAGCATGTCATTTAGAAACACCAGATGGTGAGGAACAGGCCCATCCCTCCCTTGGGGAGTCACCCCATGTCCTTTGTAGGCACGTGGCATGTGGGGGACATGTGGCTGGGGCACCCCTGCTGCGGTGGCAGGGAGGCAGCAGAGAGATGCAGACAGAGCCAAGAAGGTCAAAATAGCCCATTGGGGAAAGTTGTGACAACCCCTTTCTGGGAAGGAGGATGGATACACTCCCTTAAATAGTTTTGAGCTGGAATTTCCACACTTATCCAACCTCCTGTTTGGATGTGTTGGCAGCTGGCCACAGATGGATACAAAAGCAGTGACTGGGCATTTGTAGGATGTTCCCTGTGGGACAGGGACTCCTCAGCCAGCCCTGCTGCAAAGCCAAATGCACAACAAGCATGTGGTTTACAGTGGGGTCTGTTGGCCACACAGAGCCCAGCGAGCAGTGCTGGGACATGCCCAGTGCACACCTCCTTCTTTTATTGAGGTTCTGGGGAAAGTGGAATGAGGTCTTTGAGCCTCACCCTGCTTTTCCACTCCTGTGAAATCACTTGGCCTTGCTCACAGAGGAATCCAGCCAAGCTCAAATCTAGCTGCCTCAGAAATTTGGGATGGTGGAGTGGTGTCTGTAACATGGGGTCCATGCTAGGATGGGCTGGTGCTCACCCCTCTGGCTCACTAGAGATCCCAGAGCCCTGGCCATGAACTGTGCTCAGGTTTGCTCCTCAAACCCCCTTTTCAAGGCTGGGAAGGAGGAAGAATGTGGGACACACAGTTCAGGGACCACAGGTCTGAACTCCCTCTGCCTCTCCACTTACCCCCCTGCCCCGGATCCCTGGCAGGATGATGATGAAAGTGGCCAACATGGAGAGGAAGACGGTGATGATGACAGCCCGGGTGGTGTCAAAGGGGAAACAGGCATTGGCACCGGGGTAGAAGGGGTAGGAGCCATTCCACAGCGTCATTCTTCTGCCTGGGAGGGTTGGAAATTGGCACCAGAGAGCCATTGGAGAAAAAATCACCTCCAGAGTTTCACCACACTCAGCTTTTTCCACAGAACCATCTCCTGCCCCCTTGCCAGGGCTCTGCTTGTCCCAGGCACAGCTGTGTGTGCATCCCCAGTGCACTGCAGCCCCACACGGGGCATACTCAGGCATCTTCCACAAGAGCTATCCATCTCCCCACGGTACATCCCAGAGAAAAGCCGGGTTGGAGTCACCAGGGCATCCGCTGCAATCCTCATATTGTCCCCAGAGTGGAACAGCAAGATATGCAAACACCACTGGGCTACTCACTCCCCTCCTTTGCCTGTTCTCCATCCCTGGTGTCTTTCCCCTGCTCCTCCCTCCCTAATTCAGTCCTTTATCCTACAGCCTGGCTCCCGTTCACGGTTGCTGTGCTCGGGGCGCTGGTGAATCACAGCACAAACACAGGCTGTGCCCCATCGAGCTGCATCTTGCTGAGCCCCGACGGACTTAACTCCTCATCGTCCAAGGAAACAGGAATGACCTGGAGGGAATAGAGAAACTGCCCGTCCCTGGCAGTAGAGTGCCTGTCCCAGAAGCCAGCTGGAGGGAACGGTGGGCAGAGGGATGCTGCATGGGAAGTCGGATGTTTTTGCCATGGCACTTGACTAACTCATTTTCCCGCTAGGAAAGGGCTGCTCAGCATTCCTCAGGAAAGAGGACTCTCCCAGCAGTGGCTGCAAGAACACCCACACCCCTTTCCCCACGACGAGCCTACCTCTGTCGCGGCCGATCCCGAGGAATGGGTGCTGTGCAGAGTTCCGCTGTGCTCCGGGATGCTGCCTGCCCGCGCTGCCTCCAGGGCTGCGGGCGAGAAACCAGCCCGGCGTGGAGTCACGGCTGTTTCTCCCACTGTTTTTAGAGTACCCGCCTCCAAAGGCGGCTGGATTATCTGGTTTTACCCACAGCGGATCGGCCCCCTCCGGCGCTCCTGCTGAGCCCATGGCAGGCAAGGCTTGGCACAGACAAACCTGGGAGAGGTTTGTCTTCTTCTCGACTTTTCCTGCAGAGCGGTGAAAAGTTCAGCTGTTCCTTATGGCACGAAGACCCTGGAGCTTTCAGGTTCCTCGGGAGCCCGCCGGGAGAGAGCAGAGGGCTCAAAGCCCTCACCTGCACTGCCCGGTGGAACATTCCAGCCCGGGTCACTAGGCACAGCTTGAGGCTGCACGGCCTCCTGCTTGACCCTGCTCCTGAATCCATCCACGGGGATAGGTTTCTCAGGAAGGTCCTGGCTGACCTGTCAATCTCTGGGCAAGGTGACAGAGTGACTGGCAAGGGGGACCAGCAGAGAGGCACAGGTCTAGAAGTGCTCCCAGCCTTACGATGAAGAAGATGTTACTAACCTGGCTACAGTGTGGGTATCAGGGAAATTCAAGCTTTTGGGGTTTGCTCTTGTTCTGTGGCAGTTTGGTTGGCTGAAGCAGGTTGCATTGGTGCCAAGAGGGACCAGGGTGGCAGAAACACTTTCTTTGTTTGGGAACTTGTCTCCAAAATTGCCAGTTACAGCCATACCCCGGATATTCCTTTCTGCATCTGAGTGGATGGGCTGGCTGGGTGCTCTGGAGAGCTGAGCTTCCAACCCCCTTGGCAGAGGGATATAAAAATGAGTTTTCACTCATGCCCAGCAGTAAATAAAGGGATTTTTGGGCAAAGACTTTGCCATTTCCCCTCATGTGCCAAACTGGTGCTACATCAAATCCCACGACAGAGGTGGTTTAAAAAAAGTATAGGGTGGCAAGGGTGCCATGGCTGAGGAATGTGTGTGCAGAGATGTGCTGTGGGGCTGTCTGATGGGGATGTGGCATGAGCTCCAGCTCTGGGAGCCTCTGCAGAGCAGAGGGAGATGGTGACTTCACTGCAAAAAATGCAGATCCTCAGGGTTGTTCACACAAACACACAGGCTTTGGACCACTTGGAAAGGTGGAAATACCTCTTCCTCCAATGTGGGAGAGTGATAACTGAGGAAGTGACTGCTAATTAGCAGGCTAAGATTTATCAACGTGAGGAAGATGAAACCATGTGAGGTGGTATGTGATGTGAGGGTTTAGACCATTCATCCCTCATTGCACTCCCTGGAGACGGAAGAGGCAGCAGTGGGATGAGCCCTGCAGTGGCTTCGTTAAACAAATGTGTGGAGTTTGCCTGGGGAAAAGATCGAGGTACAGTGGGGTTTAGGCTGTTCAGATGGGCATCACAAACGTCTTTTGGGGAGATGTCCTCTTGCCAAAAATGAAAGGGAGGGGGAGGGAGCTCTCCTCCTTCTCCAAAGGAGGTACTCAGCAACACAGGGTTATGACATTGGTTTTGTGACACTGGGAAACTCACAGGGCTGTTCTGGTTCTAGAGTGTCCCCAGCAGTGATGGAAGTGGGGTGGGATGCTGGCACCCCTTCCCTGAGGTGCTGATGGGGCCATGGGCTGGCAAGCATGGGAAAGCTGCTGTACCCAGTACTCTGCATCTAAGAAAGGGTCCTGCAGAAAGATTGAGGACATTATCATAACTGGGGCTTGGGGGGTTTCCCCATTTTTTCAAATCTTCCAGGTATTTCTGCAGGTGGTAAAGCTTCATCCCACTTTCCAGGGAATAGGTTTGAGTGCTGCTCACCAGCAGCTCACAACCTCCTGCTCAGGGCACTGCTCCCCCCTCAGCACCCTGCCGTCTTCCCTGGGCAGCCTCTGCTTCACACCCTTGGGAGTGATGGATCCCCCAATTATGGGTGAGTCACCCAATCCAGGTCACCTGTGGGAGGTGAGGCAGAGGGGGGCAGCACCCAGCACCTCTTGCACAAGCAGCCAAAAAGTGTTGGATCAGCCGCCTCTGTCAGTGCTGGGAACTGAGGTGGGGAAGGCGTGGGGACATGCCTGGGCAGGGAGTTGATTTTTGGGATGGAGCAGGAAGATTTCTGCCTGATCCATTGGAGCCAGTGGGACAGATATGGTGCTTGTGGACGGGTCACCCTGACCCACTGGCTGTCCCTATCACCTCTCTGTCCTGTTCCTTGACACAGGGAATGCTGCAGCTGGAGTTGAGATGGGGCTCTGTTGTGATGAAGCCCATTCTGTGTCCCATCCTGATGCTTGGATCCTTGCCCAGGAATCTTTGCCAATGCTGAATGATTCATGGTGGAGCAACTTGAAGGGAAGGACAGGAGGAAAGATGGAGTGACCCTCTCCGATCAGTTCCACCTTGGTGAGCAGAGAGGTTTATGGTGCTGTGGCCATGCTGATTTGGCTATAGATATATTGGCAAGAAGGATCTATTTTTCCAGCTCTGGAATTTAAACATCTTGAGAGAAGGCAAAGGTGTTGCTGCCCACTACACTGACTAGTAGGTTTAGTGTCTTATGATGGAGACAAGTCAGGGTCAACTGAAAGGGCAGCCAGGAGATGGAGGCAGAGCTCTGCAGGAGCTACATGTCATCTCAGTGGGAACTAAAACAGGAGGGCTTTCAGCCACACTTTGAGGAAATACTTGTCTAGAAATTGTGTTGAGTGTTCAGCCCTCTGCCCTTTCCAAGAGCCATCATGCAGGAGAGGAATAAGTCTCTGGACATGGCCTGGACCTTCTGAAGCATATCCCAGGAAGACCATCTTGCCTGGGGGCTGCTTGACAGTCTCTGCTCCCAGACCCAAAAGGACTTTCAGTTCCTGCCACGGCTGTTGTGGGTTTACATGTGCTGTCAGAGACCCAGGGGACAAAAACCCTGCTGTCTCACTGCCTTCCCAAATATCTCTATCCTGCCCTGAGACTCCATGTCTGATCCTGTGGGCTCTTAGACCCATGCCTGGGTGGGGAAGAGGACACCCCAGAGTGGGACTGGGGCTGGTTCCTGTTCCTTCTCTTGCCCCTTGCTGAGATTGCCCAGCTTGGATGAAGGGCTGCAGGCCCAGCCCCTCTCTCCTGTCCACCGACCCGAAGTGTCCCTTCCAGGCTGCCCTAATTCCAGCTCTGCAACAGCTGCAGGAGCAGAGGGATACAGGAAAGGAGCATGGGAGAGTCTGATGCCCTGGGAGAATGGAGGAGAGGCAGAGGACATCACCTCCCATCTTGCATCTATGTTACAGATGTTGCCTCCCCACTAAAGAGCAAATAGGTTTGCCAGCTCCCAGACTGCCTCTCCAGCCTCATCCCTGAGGGCCTCCCTCATCTGACAGAGCTTTTCTGCCCCGGCATGAGTGTTGGGAAGCGCATTAGCCTTTGGGATGCAATTCGGTAGGGATTTTACTATCCCAGTCTGGGGAACCCTGTCCCCACAGATAACAGTCATTTCTGCCAGTTTAATGCAACTATCAGCAAGCTGAACTTCTCTGGGCTTTGCTGGAGCTTGTTAATGATGCACTGGGTGGTAATTAGCACTTTGATCCCTGGCTGCAGCTTAGAGAGCAGCTTTCTCCTGTAAATCTCTGGCATCAGAGGCCTAATTAATGTGACACACATATTTCCATGGAACTCCTGTGTCTCATATCTCCCTGACAGCCTTGGAATCCCTCCACTTGAATTTGGACCACCTCCTGCAAGGTGTGAGCTTGCAGATCATGGATCAGGAGGGTGAACATTGCAGTGGGAGATATCCAAGACAGATATGAGGTTGGCCAGGTGCATGTTCTCTGACAGCTCTGGGTGCCACAAGGGCTTGTGGGCTGGTGTTCAGAGCTGTCCCCACCCAGTGATCCTATCCCACAAACCATCTCCTTGGGTGGTGTCTTGCAGTTGATGACAGTCCTGCTTTGAGGTTGAAGTAGAGGCCTTCAGAGGTCACCCACTAGTATTTATACAAAGCTGGTGGCCCTGTTCCTCCCACCGTAGTCTCATAGACCTCACAGAGGAACTGGTTCCCTAAAACCTTCCAGAGCATGCGTTTCCTTTCCTTCCAGGGAAGGGACACATGACAGGGAGCTGGGAAGCTTGCCTTTCATGAAAAAGGACATGGTCTTTGAGGT